TGAGCGACCTGGAGCTGGAGGAAGCCTTTGGGGTTAAACCATTTGAGAGCGATTTAACCCCTTAAAGGAAAGCGAGCACCCAGGGCTTCCTGGCATCATAGCATTTTCATTTAGGTGAAGTTGTTATGGTGACCAGAAATGTCCTTTAATTTGCTTAAAGGAACACTATAGTGTCAGGAATACAAACATATATTCCTGACACCATAGTTGTGAAAACGCTATTCACCCTGGCTTTATGTGATAATGGCTATGCCCCTTCCCTTTCATGACACTGTCAAAAAGGTACCAAGCATGGATGTCATTACAATTATGCCCCCCCCTGGAAAAATTCCTGCGGACGCCCATGGCTGAGAGTCGGAACAAAATGCATCAGGAGCAGGAAACTGTTACGTCAAGGTGGTTAATGGTATAAAGAAAGAAAAAAAAAAAAAAAACAATGTGACCACAAACACACAAAAGTCCTTGATCACATGAACTGTTTCATTCATCCCTGTCTCCATGCGTATGTTCTATGAGACTGTCGAAGAATAGAGTATCCAGTTTCCAGGACTAATGTTTGTGAAAATTCCAGGAACACAGACCAGCCAGAGGCTACAGAAATCGTGTCGGTCTGTGCCATGATTCATAGGTGTTATGAGTTTGTGGTGTCTAATACTATATTAAGCTCCAAAACACATCCTCACATGAACACAATATCATTGGTTAATCTAATAAAACATGGTTTGAGTTGTCTATTATTACAAGGGTGGGTATTTGCCTATTTAAGGCCAAGGTTTCCCAACTGCTAATGCATGTGCTCAGTGGTTATTATAAGGGTGGGTATGTGCTTATTTTAGGCCAAGGTTTCCCAACTGGTGATGCATGTGCTCAATGAAAAAATAAAAATAAAAATTGAATAAGCAATAAAGTGTCATAACTTTACGGGTAAATGGGTATCATTCTTCAAAAGGTGGGTTTTGTTGTAGGGCAGGTACTGTTAAAATAGGGTAGATTCAAGATGTACGGGTTTATAATGTTTGTTTTATGACATAAGTCAAAGGGTGGTTTGTAATGGTATTTATTAATTAATGACTTTTTGTCATAAAAAAAGCATAATGAGCTTAATGCTTTAGACGCACCACTAGATGTCAGTAAAGCATATTTAGTGTAATGCTTTGGGGGCACCACTAGGGGGAGTGTGTAGGAAGACCTGTGCTTCTGGCAGTGACATCACAGGCCAGCCTACTTACACTGAATAAAAACCAGATGTTAGGAGAAGCTAGCTCTCTTTTTGCCTGTACCTGACTGATCATGTAGTACCAGCTCTGACTTAACCCCAGCCAAAGGGCTGGGGCCTTGTAAGTAAAATGTTGTGTAACATGTAGCAACCTTTTGTAAGTAATATGTTGTAGTTTTGTATTGTATCATTATTGTAGTAAATTGACATTCTGCTAGCATCTGTTTATTTATTATAGTTATATTAAATATACATTTAATATTACAACGTTTTGTGTATTTTCTATCCACATATTCGACCATAATACCATGAATTATAAAAATATTAATGTTGTTCCGTATTGCTTAATTATTATGTATTAAGAGATTAATATTCATATTTAGGTCACGACCACAACAGCCCCTCATGATATTTCTGCAATCCTTCAGCAAGTTCAACCTAAACATCTTTCTTCTCAACGCCACCTTCGCCTGCAAACTTCATTACTGTTACCTGACAATGTAACTCTTCAACGCTGTCTCTCCCTGAATCCGGCCACTCTTCTGCCACTTCCCAAGGGGGGAGTTGTACAGTACTGGTACAGCTTGGACATCGATCCAGAGGTCCGAGCAGATTTGCAACTGCCTGCTCTTGAACCCCCATATGATGTGCAATCAGAGAATTTGCTACACTGCACCCTGTGGTTTAAGGATAGTCCAGGCCCTAATATGAATTATGAGGAAGAACTGTTTCAACTCAAGGAAATTCAAATCACACTGACTGACTTATTATGGGACTCCACAGGTAACATGATCTTATTAGTTCATCTCCCAGAGAATGTGACACATCTCTACCATCATTGGGAAACAGCTGTCCCACACATATCTCTCACTAAATCCCCTGACATTTCATGGAGAGATTTAGGCCCAATGGCCAAGGCCTGGAATAAAACAGCCAGGAACAACTGACCTCTATGGGGATAACCAAAAAGGCTATCAACCACTGTACAGCTGGATACCCTAGGTACCATACAGAAGTCTGTGAGGACTTATTTGCCATAGACTGTGACCCTGACATTCCTCATGATTGCTTTGAACAAATGAAAATGGAAACTACCCACTTGCCAACTGTGTACGAAGCTGCGTTACTCAACCCAGACCAAACACTGTTTGTGGACGGCTCCAGATTTGCTGATGTACAGGGGCAATATCACACTTGGTATGCAGTCACCACAGGATGCCAAGTATTACAAGCAGCCGCCCTTCAGCCAACTAAGTCAGCTCAAGAAGCCGAGCTAACAGCCCTTACCGTGGCCTGCAAGTTGTCTGAAGGCCTACGTGTCAATATCTATACAGACTCAAGATATGCCTGGGAGTGGCACATGACTTTGGCCTAATTTGGAAGACTAGAGGATTTCTTACAGCCACCGGTACCCTAGTGAAACATGGGGCAGTCATTGCAGAACTGATGGATGCTTTGGAGCTTCCGGCAGAGGTGGCAGTGTTGAAAGTGAAAGCCCATGGAAGGCTAGATTCAGAGGAAGCACGGGGCAACCACTTAGCTGATCAGGCTGCCAAGGAAGCAGCACGACAAGGGTGGGAAGTGGACAGAAGAGTGGTCACTGACACAGTACCTATCTACACTATGCAGACATTACCTATGGATCTCAGGCTTCTAAAGGAGCAACAAGCAGCTGCTACTCCCCAGGAGAAACAAAGTTGGAAGAACAAAGGAGCTGTTCTCCATGATGATGTTTACACTATCAATCTCAAGTTTCGCCTACCCAGAAATATGTACCCAGCTGTAGTTCAATGGGCCCATGGGCCAGCCCACCTGTCAAAACATTTGATGAACTCATTGATTGATAGGTACTTTGAAGCACCAGGCATCACTACCTTGACACAGAATTATTGTAGATCCTGCACAATATGCGCTAAATGTAACCCTGGGAAGGTTGTTAAAACCGCACCTAACCACCTGGCCAAACCCCAATATCCCTTTCAGAGGATACAAATTGACCATATCCAAATGCCAAAAAGTGGACGTTATGAATACGCACTGGTCATTGTGGACATGTTCTCAGGATGGCCAGAAGCCTTCCCAGAGACTAACCTCACTGCGAGGACTACGGCCAAGCACCTTCTGACGGAGATTGTCTGTCGAAATGGAGTTCCAGAAGTGATTGAAAGCGACCAAGGAACCTCCTTCACCGCCTCGTTGACACGGGAAGTCTGGTCAGCACTGGGGGTGACCCTTGCATTCCACACGCCATATCACCCACAAAGTAGTGGTAAGGTAGAATGCATAAATGGCACCTTAAAAGCCAGAATGCTTAAAATGTCACAAGAAACTAACATGCCCTGGCCCGAGAGAAGAACATGGTTATCAGCAAAAATCAGCATGGTTTTATGAAGCACAGGTCATGTCAAACTAACTTGATTGCGTTCTACGAAGAAGTAAGTAGAAGTATAGATCAGGGTGTTGCCGTGGATGTGATCTATTTGGATTTTGCCAAGGCATTTGATACAGTTCCACACAATAGATTAGTGTTCAAACTCAAGGAAATCGGTCTAGATGAAAATACTTGTTCTTGGGTAGAACATTGGCTTAAAAACAGAGTACAAAGAGTTGTCATTAATGGTAAATTTTCAAGCTGGACAGGGGTGGCAAGTGGTGTCCCTCAGGGGTCTGTTCTGGGACCCCTTCTATTTAACATGTTTATAAATGATCTTGAAGACCGCATTGAAAGTCATGTTTCAGTGTTTGCAGATGACACCAAACTTTGTAAAACAACACAATGTGAGCAAGATATTACTTTGCTGCAGAGGGACTTAGATAGACTGGGGGACTGGGCACTCAAATGGCAGATGAAATTTAATGTTGAAAAATGCAAAGTTATGCACTTCGACATAAAGAATACACAAGCAACGTATACCCTTAATGGAAGCGAATTAGGGATAACAACACACGAAAAGGACTTGGGAATTGTTATAGACAACAAACTATACAACAATGTGCAATGTCAATCAGCAGTGGCCAAGGCCAGTAAGGTATTGTCATGCATGGAAAAGGGCATTCATTCTCGGGACAAGAATATAATTTTGCCTCTTTATAAATCACTGGTAAGACCCCATATTGAATATGCTGTGCAATTTTGGGCACCTGTTCTAAAGAAGGATATTATGGCACTAGAAAAAGTGCAGAGGCGGGCTGCAAAATTAATAAAAGGAATGGAACATATCGGCTATGAAGAAAGGTTAACAAATTTAAACCTATTTAGTTTAGAAAAGAGGGGATATGATAACATTATACAAATATATTCGTGGCCAATACAAACCATTGTGTGGAAATCTATTCACAAACTGGACTTTACATAGGACACGAGGCCATGAGTTTAGACTGGAAGAAAGAAGATTTCGTCTAAGGCAAAGGAAAGGTTTTTTTACTGTAAGAACAATCAGGATGTGGAATTCTCTGCCTGAGGAAGTGGTTTTATCAGAGTCCATACAGATGTTCAAACGGCTACTAGATGCATACTTGCAAGAACAGAATATTCAAGGATATAATCTTTCAATGTAGGGTAATAACTGCTTGATCCAAGGATAAATCTGACTGCCATTCTGGGGTCAAGAAGGAATTTTTTCCCTAGTTTGTTGCAAAATTGTGCTTCAAACTGGTTTTTTTTGCCTTCTTTTGGATCAACAGCAAAAAACAAATGTGAGGTAGGCTGAACTTGATGGACGCAAGTCTCTTTTCAGCTATGTAACTATGTAACTATGAGAGCCTCCCATTAGCGTTGTTTAGCGTGAGGTACACCCCTAGGGGAAAATATAGCCTATCACCTTATGTGATTTTGTTTGGTACAGCACCCAGACTAGGTTGTTACTTCCCTCAACAATTTCAGATCCAGTCAGACACTATGGTAGATTATGTGACTGCCCTCTCACATGCCTTGACCAAAATCCATGCCCAAGTGTTTTCTTCTATTCCAGATCCTGAGTCGAATACAGGTACACACAAGCTGCTCCCTGGTGATTGGGTTATGGTCAAGAAATTTCTCAGGAAACACACCCTTGAGCCGAGATTTGATGGTCCTTACCAAGTGCTCCTGATCACAGCTACGTCAGTTAAGCTAGCCGGAAAGAGTTCTTGGATACACGCTTCACATTGCAAGAAAGTGCCTGCTCCAGAAGAAGCTACCCCTGCTGAACTATGAATTTGTTGTGTATTCTGTGTTTCCTTACGCTGCTACAATTTGCATGGGCCCAACAGGTGGCCATAACCATAGACAACCATGTTTACACTTTCTGGTATAATTCTTCTAACACAGACGTAGCTACCTACACCTTTGACTACTGTGACATTGTTGCTTGCACCTTCCCACAAACACAATATGCTGCCATATACAAGGATATACCTAACAAAAAAGATCCATACATTTGCGTGACTGGAGGGACCTGGGGGCATCATTGTAGTTCATGGAAAGCAGCTGGGTGGAACACGGGTAGACCATGGGGCTATAGACCCCAGAGTGCATTAGACAGAATAGACAAAGACGGAAAACCTTGACTCTCCAGAATAACCTTAAGTAAACCTATTAGGTCGACTCCTATCAAACTTACCTTAAACATAGAGCACCCTAGCCCAAAGGATGCGGGGGAATATGTAATGGGAATGTACTGGAGGGGAGGCGGCTCATATAATAAACTGGGGACATTTTATCTGCAAGACATGCTTACCTCACCAGACTGGGTAGGAACCACTCACATGACTATTAACCCATTGAAACCACATATTAAGACTCTACATGACATGGTAGCTATAGCCAACCCCACCTTTGAAGACACCATGGCAGTAGAAACTGGGTTCTCAGACACAAATTTGTGGCTAGAATGGATGAGGTACAATGCTAACTCGCACAATAAGACCAATTGTTATGTATGCGGAGGAGCCAGACCCCATCTGGGTACAGTGCCTTTAAGTTTACCTCCTGAAGTAGAATTATGTGTTTTAAGCCTTTATGCATAATCCACCACAAATTCCTCAACATGTGAATCATGGAAAAGGGTTTACCCAATCACCCAAGGACACGTTAGACCACCCGATGGGGTCACCGTATATCCAGGTAATTACACGTGTTATTCAATACCTAAGAACACTGGTGTATATTTGGGCAAATTCCCATCTGGATATTGTTCAACCTACCACAGCCCGCCTATATCGCTGTTAATGAATCATGCTAAGACAGTTGGAGACATATATTGGTTATGTGGCGATAGACAGTTGAGGTCCCAACTAGTGGGGCAGTGGTGGGGGGAATGTACCTTGACCAAGGCTATAATGCCCATCCACATCATTCCGGACGTTAGCCATAACACATTAGACCACACACACATACATCCTAGAGCCAGACGTGAAGCCCCCGTCCGAGGGAGCTTTGACCCTCATGTATATATTGATGCTATTGGTGTACCAAGGGGGGTGCCTAGTGAATTCAAAGCAAGGGATGAGGTGGCAGCAGGATTTGAATCCTTGATTCCAATGATAACTGCCAACAAGAATGTCAATTGGATCAATTACATTTATTATAATCAACAGCGATTTGTTAATTACACTAGGTATGCCCTACAGGGCCTGGCAGAACAATTACAAGCCACCACCCAAATGACATTTCAGAACAGAATGGCTCTAGATATGATCTTAGCAGAGAAGGGGGGCGTATGTAAAATCCTCCCCGAGACTATGACATGCTGCACATTTATTCCAGACAACACTGGGCCCAATGGTAAGGTAACTATGGCCATAGAGAAGCTAGATAGCCTCTCTGATGAATTGAAAAAGAACTCAGGAGTCACTGACACTTGGGACAGATGGTTTGGATGGATGAATGGTTGGCAAAGAACCCTATTTCAGGTAGGGACGGCCGTTCTTATAATGACTATCATTTTCTTATTTCTAACCTGTTGTGTGCTTCCTTGCATACAGAAGTACTTACAGAAAACAGTAGGGAAGACCATAGATGACGTGACCCCTACTTTCCTACATCAAGATACCACAGACCTCGAATGTGACACCCCACATACACCCCTCCAATCACATCAGTTCAAACAGACAACTGCATTCCTGTAGGGACAGCGTAGGGAAAGCGTCTGTCTTTACAGGCAAGTCTCACGTGCGGAGATGTGGTGGACTAGCCACTGCGGGTTACCCACGGAGTGAAGAGTTCGATGCTTGTTAAGACAGATGAGCTGCAGGCAGCTAGGGATACGCTAGGGACAGTGGCAGTTGTTATGGTAAATAGCCATTTTAAGGGGGGACTGTTGTGGAAATAAGGTCTCCATATATTTCCTAGTTAGTAAAATGTCTATTTACTCATCTCCCAAAAACCAGTATATAAGCTATACACGCATAATTTAGTCAAAATGGCTGCTAGAAGCTTCTAACCCCTTCTCCCCCAATAACATCGACTAACCTCCTCGTGCAGCAAGATGGCGCCGGGAAACCGTGGGAGACCCTCATGGTCTCGGTGACATCACCCTCAGTAGGCAGAGCATTAGGAAGACCACTTAACACCTAACCAATTATTGATGTATTATTCCATGTTATCTCTGACAGTACCTATGTTGTAATTTTGCTTTAAAAGGGACTTGCCGTCCCCTCTGAATAAACATTCCTCAAGTTATTCAACAACCTGGAACCTGTGTCTGGTGTGAATTACTTCAGGGAGCGTGCACGCACTGTTTCATTAATTTGGCCAGGTGCAGATACACAAAGAAATAATCAATTTATTGGTTGATTTTTCCCCAGGTTCCCCACGCCTGAGATTAAGTTGAAGCAAGTGAAAGATTCGTTGGTATGCCCATCAGAGTAAATCACAAAAAAATACCTAAACCAAGCATTGAAGCACTTGAGGCAACTCACAGTTGAGGAACTGAAAAATGATGTTAAGGAGATAGGGGGACACATACAGGTGATACTCAAAAAATTTGAATATCGTAAGTTAATTTATTTCAGTAATGCAACGTAAAAGGGGAAACCAATATATGAGATAGACGCATTACATGCAAAGCAAGATAGTTCAAGCCGTGCTTTGTCATAAGTGCGATGATTATGGCTTACAGCTCATTAAAACCCCAAATCCACAATCTCAGTAAATTAGAATATTACATGCAATCAATAAAACAAGGAGTGTACATAGAACAATATCGGACCTCTGAAGAGTATAAGCATGCATATGGACTCAGTACTTGGTTTGGGCCCCTTTTGCAGCAATTACTGCCTCAATGCGGCATGGCATTGAAGCTATCAGCCTGTGGCACTGCTGAGGTGTTATGGAAGACCACAATGCTTCAATAGCGGCCCTCAGCTCTTCTGCATTGTTCGGTCTCATGTCTTTCTCTTGGCAATGCCCCATAAATTCTCTATGGGGTTCACGTCAGGCGAGTTTGCTGGCCAATCAAGCACAGTAATCCCACGGTCATTGAACCAGGCTTTGGTGCTTTTGGCAGTGTGGGCTGGAAAATGAAGTCAGCATCCCCATAAAGCTTGTCTGCGGAAGGAAGCATGAAGTGCTCCAAAATCTCCTGGTAGACAGCTGCGTTGACCCTGGACTTAATGAAGCACAGTGGACCAACACCATCAGATGACATGGCTCCCCAAATCAACACAGACTGTGGAAACTTCACACTGGACTTCCAAGTATCTTGCAGTGTATGCCTCTCCATTCATCCTCCAGACTCTGGGTCCTTGGTTTACAAATGAGATGCAAAAGTTGCTCTCATCAGAAAAGAGGACTTTGGACCACTGAGCAACAGACCAGGTTTTTCTTTAGCCCTGGTAAGTCGCTTCTGACGTTGTTTGTTGTTCAGAAGCGGCTTGAGAAGAGGAATACAACAGCTGAAGCTCATGTCCAGGACCCGTCTGTGTGTGGTGCTTCTTGATGCACTGACTCCAGCCTCAGTCCACTCCTTGTGAAAGTCCCCAACACTTTTGAATGGCCTTTTCCTGACAATCCTCTCCAGGCTGCGGTGATCCCTGCTGCTTGTGCACCTTTTTCTTCCACACTTTTCCCTTCCACATAACTTTCTATTAATGTGCTTTGATACAGCACTTTGGGAACATCCAACTTCCTTCGCAATTACCTTTTGAGGCTTTCCCTCCTAATGGAGGGTGTTAATGATGGTTTTCTGCACAACTGTCAGGTCAGCAGTCTTCCCTGTGATTGTGATTCCTACTGAACCAGACATTTAAAGGCTCAGAAACCCTTTGCCGGTGTTATGGCTTACTTAGCTGATTAGAGTGGGACACTGTGAGCCTAGAATATTGCACCTTTTAACAATATTCTAATTTACTGAGATTGTGGATTTGGGGTTTTCATGAGCTGTAAGCCATAATCATCGCACTTATGACAAATCACGGCTTGAACTATCTTGCTTTGCATGTAATGAGTCTATCTCATATATTAGTTTCCCCTTTTACGTTACATTACTGAAATAAATGAACTTTTGCACGATATTCTAATTTTTCGAGTATCACCTGTATATATACAATTTCATTCTAAGTGATATTTTGATATAAATATATATGTATTATCAAATACAGTTAGAATAAAAAATATATATATAATTGTTTAAATTTGTTAAAAAATAATTTAGTTTATTTTTAATTATTTTTTATTAACTATATACGTGTCATTTTACTCTAAGTGTATTTTTATATTAATATATTGATAAAAAAATACACTTAGTATGACATTATATATAAGATATATACATATTATATATAGATATATGCGTGTGTATATATATATATATATACACACACACACACACACACACACACACACACCGTATATACTCGTGTATAAGCTGACTTTTTCAGCACATTTTTTTATGCTGAAAAAGCCCCCCATGGATTATACTCGAGTGAGGGTAATCAACTTTTAAATCCAGGGATAGCTTCATCCAGAAAAAAAGTCTCTGGTATCATATGAAAGCTGCCAGTATGTGGAAATACACTGTGCTCCACAAAAGTGCTCTGTAAAATATAAGCAGTTCACAACAAAGGCACAAGAGAGGGTGAATATGGAGGGTAGCACTATGCCCAATACATCCGGTTTATTCACAGTCCTACCCAGTGTCGGCTCCAGAGAGGTAGTGAACTTTGGTGTTCTGAGATCCCGGGACCTCCTCTCAGATCGACAAGAGGGAAACCCCTGCTGGGCTGGCACCTGTTGTAATTCTCCACAGGTATCTGACCCTACGTTCTACATGCACATTGGTGAAATCACCTGCTTTTTGAATATTAGAAGTCTCGCCTTACTTGTTTCGTGGCGGTGCCAGCTACTTCATCAGAGGCCCATGTGTGATAAAGCTATTTAAAGTCACTTTTTTTAAATGTATTAACTTTATTCCCCCCTCAAACTTTTTAAAAACTTTTTTCACCAGCAGGGGGGACTGCTTGTCAGTTCAGGCAGTCTCCCTGCTGGCAGCACTGTGGACACCTATTGGGCCACGTGATCGGTCTTTTAGAGAGTGGTCACATGGTCCCTAGGGGTCCTAAATTACAGAGGGGGGACTGTCTGGGCTGAGCCCCCTCAGAAGAAGACCGATTGCCGACGGTGGAATGGCGGTGATCGGTAAGTACATGGGGAGGGAGAGGGAGGGAGGGTAGGGGTTAACTTTTTAAAAAATTAATTACAGCTTTTAAAAACATTTACTGAGTGTCTCAACCCCTCTAGGCACTCAGTTCAGGCAGAGCATCGGAAGCCTGCCTGAAGGCTTCCGATGCTCTGCTCTACACAGCCGGGCGCCACGGGGGGAGCGATCGTG